TCCAATGATTTAATTTTGAGAAGAAAAATCCAGTGATTGAACTCATGCAAGGAGATGTCCTAGGGCTTGCTAAAAGTCAGGTTGTAGCTTCCATTGCATTCAAGAAAATCAGAAAAATAAATACAACTTTTAGAAGAAACTTTTAAAGTTTTCTCCCATTTGCATTTAAACCTTGGGGTCTCATACTTCTGGATTTGATTAGACCTGTGCTGTCTTATATGGTAGCCACTGCCCATCCATATGTGGCTACTGAGTACTTGAAATGTGACTAGTCTGAATTAAGATGTGCTGTAACTAAAATACACCCTGGATTTCAGAGACTTCATAAATAATGTAAACTATTCTTTCTTGTTGATTGCATGTTGAAATGATAATATTTTGGATATATTTGGGTTAAATAAAATATATTACTAAAAGTAATTTAACCTGTGTCTTTACTTTTTAAATGTGACTATTAGAAAATGTGAAATTATATATGGCTTATAACTATTGGATGGCAGAGAATTGGAGAATAGGCAGTATTCCCTGAAGCTTCCTGCTAGAGGCGAGTGCTTTAAAGTGGTAAGTATGAAAAAGATTCTCAGTGCCAGCATTCAGTCTTCCATCAAGCCAGGAACAGTTTTTCCCTCTTCCCCTCAGATGGTACAGGGGTGGTATTTTGACTATTAAAACATTCCCATTCAACACTTTGGGTAACTAGATGGATGTCACTATCATTCACTCACTAGAACAAAGCATTATTTTCTAATATAAGTCTGTCACTCATTAAAGGCAGTTATCCTTCCTATTTATCTAAAACTTGAGTCTTATTTTTAAGTCCTATTCTTTCTGTCAGGATTTTTGCTAAATTGCCAAAGCAATGGCATAACCAATGTGGCTATTCTTGCATGTAATCAGTAGAAACAAAGAAATGGGAGGCTGGGTGTGGTGGCTGATGCCTTGTAATCCCAGCACTTTGGGAGGCCGAGGCAGGCGGATCACAAGGTTAGAGGTTCAAGACCAGCCTGGCCACTATGGTGAAACCCTAGCTCTACTAAAAATACAAAAATTAGCTGGGCATGGTGGCTCATACCTGTAATCCCAGCTACTTGGGAGGCTGCGGCAGGAAAATTGTTTGAACTGAGACCCAGGAGGCGGAGGTTGCAGTGAGCTAATA